GTATAGTAGTTCCCAAATCCTTAGACTTTTGTCATAAAGTCTTACTTTTCTGATAGTAATATAGCTACTTGAGCTGTTTTGGGTATGGAATTTCACTGGTATGTATTTTTCCATCACATTCCTTTCACCCTTTTTGTGTACTCGTGTTTAAGTGTTATCTCATAAATAGTATGTAGCTGAATTTTGGCTCTTTTAAAAATATATAGAATTTGTCTTTTTTTTTTTTTTTTTTGAGACAGAGTCTCGCCCTGCTGCCCAGACTAGAGTGCAATGACATGATCTCGGCTCACTGCAGCCTCCACCTCCTGGGTTCAAGCAATTCTCCTGCCTCAGCCTCCCAAGTAGCTGGGATTACAGGTGCCCGCCACCGCACCTGGCTAATTTTTGTATTTTTAGTAGAGATGGTTTTACCATGTTGTCCAGGCTGGTCTCAAACTCCTGACCTCTGGTGATCCATCCACCTTGGCCTCCTAAAGTGTTGGGATTACAGGCGTGAGCCACCGCACCTGGCCTAGAGATTTGCCTTTTGACTGGCAGTAGTGACTGTTTGCCTTTTTTCTGGTTACTGATGTGATTCGATTTTTTTCTTTGTTATTTTTCCCCCTTTCTTTTTCTAGTCTTCGTTTTTTATCTTCCCTGCCTTTACTTCTTAAGTGTTTGGTTTTTTTCCTGTTCAGCGCTCTCTTACCTTCCCCACTAGCTTTGAAATGAGGTACCATTTCCATTCTTTTGATGGTTATCTTAAAATTTTTACCCTCATACCTGTCTCAGCCAGGGCTGCTGTAACAGAGCATCATGGACCCAGTGGTTTGAACAATATTCAGTTCAAGAGACTGGGAATTCCAAGATCTGAATGCCAGCAGGTTCAGCGTCTGTGGAGGACCTGATTCTTGGTTTGCAGACTGCTGTCTTCTGATTAATTTCCTCACACGGCAGAGAGATAGAGCAAGGGCACTTATAAGGACACTAATCCTGTTCATGGGGGCTGTACCCTAGGATCTAATCACCTCCCACAGGCCTGCCTCCTAATATCATCACCTTGAGGGTGAGGATGTCAGCATGTCAATTTTAGGGGGACACATTCACTCTGACAATACCTAATAAGTATAATATGAATATCCTCTCTCCCGAAACATACAGAGAACTTCTGTAGTAGCTTAGCCCTGTCTTTTTTAGATTGCTTGAGGTAGACATTATTGTCTTCATTTGTTTAGATGGCATTTAAATTTCGGAATATATTTGCCAGTTTCTCTGCTCCTCATTTGTTTTCATCTCAGACCATTTCTGAAGTACATTCTTTGAAAAGTCCTCTAGTGTATGTAGAGCTGCTGGTGGTAAACAGTGACTTCAGTCAGTGCACACTTCTCTCAGCACTTGGAAGATAGCATTCAGCAGTCTTTGGTTCCGTAAAAATAAGCTTATCCTGCTTGATGTATGTGCGTTTTCTTATTCCGGGAAATTCTTAGCTGTTATCTTCTCATATTCCTTCCCTTCATTTTTTCTATTCTTTCTTTTTTTTTTTTTGAGACGGAGTTTCACTCTTGTTGCCCAGGCTGGAATGCAGTGGTGTGATCTCAGCTCACTGTGGCGTGATCTTGGCTCACTGCGGTGTGATCTTGGCTCACTGCGGTGTGATCTTGGCTCACTGCAACCTCCACCTCCTGGGCTCAGGCAATTTACAGACATGCCCCACCATGGCCAGCTAATTTTGTATTTTTAGTAGAGACAGGGTTTCTCCATTTTGGCCAGCTGGTTTCGAACTCCTGACCTCAGGTGATCCACCCGCCTCAGCCTCCCCAAATGCTGGGATTGCAGGCATGGAACACCACGCCTGGCCACTTGTTTTTCTATTCTTTTGGAGTTTCAATTAGATGATGCATGTCATAGACTGAATGTTTTTCTTCCCAGAAGTTAAGTGTCGAAATCATAACTCCACATCAGGAAGTGAGGTCTTGGGGCAGTAATTAGGTCATGAGGGATTTATGCAAGGGACCCCAGAGAGCTCTTTCCTCTTTGTGCCATGGGAGCATAGATGGAGAAGTCAGCAGTCTGTAACATGGAAGAGGGCCGTCAGCAGAACCCAACCATGCTGGTACCCTCATCTCAAACTTCCAGCATTCAGAACTGTGAGAAATAAATGTCTGTTGTTAGTAAGCCACCCGGTCTGTAGGACTTTGTTATAGCGACTAAGACAATGCATTGTTCGGAATTCTCATTCTTTCCTTTAGTACTCTAATATACCTGAGCTATGTTCTATCTCCTTGTATCTGTGCTGTGTACTGGGTAATCTCCTCAGCCCTGTCTTTGAGTTCATTAAACCTCCTCTCATTGAATCTCTGTTTATCCATTGAGAGGTCCCTGCAGCCCCCAGCAGTTCTTATTTTTATTATTAAAAGACCGATTTGGTTATTTTAGAAAGCTGTCTACTTGTTTTTGATGGTTACTGTTAATTGCTTATTTTTGTGATTCTGTCTTTATGTTTTATTCATAGTTATTTTAAAGTCCATATTTGCTGATTTCAGTGTCTGCTTTTTTTTTTTTTTTTTTTTGTGACAGAGTCTTGCTCTGTCACCAGGCTGGAGTGCAGTGGCGCAATCTCGGCTCACTGCAACCTCCGCCTCCTGGGTTCAAGTGATTCTTCAGCCTCAGTCTCCCGAGTAGCTGGGACCACAGTCACCTGCCACCATGCCCGGCTAATTTTTTTGTATTTTTAGTAGAGACGGGGTTTCATGGGTGGCTTTGATTTACGATAGATTATTTTCTTGTGTGTTGAATCTTTGGCTAAACAAGTATTTGTTCTAAAGTAGCAGAAAACCAGTTAGCCTCGTTTGAGAATGATTTCCTCTGAAAATGATTTGCATTTTATTTTACCATAGGCCTGAGGCTGTGTTAAGTCTCCTTACAGGAGCCCTTGCTCCCAAGAATGTTGTGTTCAGTCCTCCGGCTTGCTGTCCCCTCCAGCAAGCCTCCTTCCCCAGCCCTACCAGCTTGTTCTCAGGCTTTGGGGTTGCCTTGCTTTGTCCCTTGGAGATTTTTTTATGTGTTCTGTGGGCCTAGCAATGCAGCGCGTGCGCACGCGCGCGCGCGCACACACACACACACACACACACACACACACACATTCATACACACATCATTTAGATATTTTGTAGTAAGTAGGAGGTCCCTTCAGAGTGTCCAGTCAACCGTTCTCCTGGAAGTAGAGGTTTCAAAGCATTATTTTTTGCGACGGAGTCTTACTCTATTGCCAGGCTGGAGGGCAGTGGTGTGATCTCGGCTAACTGCAACCTCCGCCTCCTGGGTTCTAGCGATTCTTCTGCCTCAGCCTCTGGAGTAGCTGGGACTACAGGTGCACACCACCATGCCCAGCTAATTTTTGTGTTTTTAGTAGAGACAGGGTTTCACCATGTTGGCCAGGATGGTTTCACTCTCTTGACCTTGTGATCCACCCGCCTCAGCCTCCCAAAGTGCTGGGATTACAAGCGTGAGCCACTGCACCCGACCTCAAAGCATTTTTAAAGTGAAAAAGAAAAAGAAAGGGAGGGAGGAAGGAAAGAGGAAAAGTAATAGCATTATAATACTGAGCATTTGGCTGATGGGAATAAAGGAAACAACTTTTAGATGATGATCCTACCACCCCAACACAGTACCTGTAAAATCAGAGCCAATTAATGAGGAGATGGGCAAACATAAAAGAGGGAAAGCTAAGACATTTGTCTTCTCATCATCACCTAATTCTCATTAGGCAAGCATTCCTTTGGAAAATAGTTGAATACCTGAGCCTTCATCTAACAGCTTATTTTTACTTGCTAATAACGTCCTGAAAAGTTAGGTGGAAAAGTACTCAAAATCTTTCATTAAGATGTAGATAAATGCAGCTTTCGTTTTCCACATGTGATTTCTACATATGTAGTTTTGAATATTATTGTTCCTCTTCTTAATATATCACAGGACAAGGAGTAGATGAACCTCTTTCAGAAACTGGATTTAAACAAGCAGCAGCTGCTGGTGTATTTCTGAATAATGTGAAGTTTACTCATGCTTTCTCCAGTGATCTCATGAGGACAAAGCAGGTAAGTTTATTTATTTATTTATTTTTTTGAGACAGAGCCTCACTGGACACCCAGGCTGGAGTACAGTGGTGCAACCTCTGCTCACTGCAACCTCCATCTCCTTGGTTTAAGTGATTCTTGGCCTCAGCCTCCCAAATAGCTGGGATTACACGTGTGTTCCACCACACCTGGATAATTTTTGTATTTTTAGTAGAGATGGGGTTTTACCATGTTGCTGGTCTCGAACTCCGAACCTCAGGTGATCCACCTGCCTCAGACTCCCAAAGTGCTGGGGTTACAGGTGTGAGCCACCGCTCCCAGCAACAGGTGAGGTTAGAGTCAAGGTCTAGGCCGATGTGCCAAAAGTCTCAACAATTGTATAATCTTGAAAAATCTGCTACCAGAGTCTGTAGGGAATTAAATCACACACAGACATAACCTTCCTCAACAGAACTTATTTATTTTAATTTTATTTTGTACTTGTTTTAAATTAATTTTTTAATTAGAGTAGCTTAGAAAAAAAAATGTCTAAAAGAATATAAATAAGCTATTATGAGAGAGACCAGGGAGAAATGACAGGAGAAATTAACCCACCATGATATCAGGTATTAGGATTACCAGATAGAGTAAGAAACCACTATGTCACTGTAAAGAAATAAAAGACTTGTTAGAAATATCTCCAGGGAACAGATTACTATAAAAATGAGAAACCAGCCAGGTGCATTGGCTCATGCCTATAATCTTAACACTTTGGGAGGCTGAGGTGGGCGGATCACCTGAGGTCAGGAGTTCGAGACCAGCCTGGCCAACATGGTGAAACCCCGTCTCTACTAAAAATACAAAAATTAGCCAGGTGTGGTGGCACGCACCTTAATCCCAGCTACTCGGGAGGCTGAGGCAGTAGAATCGCTTGAACCTGGGAGGTGGAGGTTGCAGTTAGCTGAGATCATGCCATTGCACTCCTGCCTGGGTGACAGAGCAAGACTCTGTCTCAAAAACAAATAAATAAAAATCAAAATGAACCCAATCTACTTCTAAAACCCCATGGAAGGAGATTTTTGTGACCACTATGAGTGAACCATTGTTGGAATTTCATCTCCCCATAAACAATTAGAAAATGTGACAAAATGTGTGAAGCCACTGTTTTCAGACAGACTTTGGGCGCTGTGGGCCTGTGATGCCTGAATGAAGTGGAACAAAGACGGTGAGCCCTAGGATTGCCCTGGTTTTCTGGCTAAAGCGATTTCCAGACTCTGGTAGGGGAAGCCAAGTAGAGCTTAGCGGTCTCAGTGAGTTGAGGAGAAAAAACTTGGAATTTGGGAAGGTTAATCTTTACATTACTAAAATTTGTGGGGCAGAGTACTGGAAGAAAGAGGTGGATAGAGAAAGAGCTCTAGAAATATGTACATGAATCTCCTTAAATTGAAACATTTCTTGAAACAAATGATAATGGAAACACTATATACCAAAACCTGTGGGATACAGCAAAAGCATTAGGGAAGTTTATAGCTGTAACCACCTACATCAAAGAAGAAGAAAAACTCCAAATAAACATCTAACAATGTATCTTAAAGAACTAGAAAAGCCACTTTGGGAGGCTGAGATAGAAGGATTGCTTGAGCTCAGGAGTTCAAGACCAGCCCCGGGAACATGGTGAAACCCCATCTCTACTGAAATTTAAAAAATCAGCTGGGTGTGCTGGCAGGTGCCTGTAATCCCAGTGACTCAGGAGGATGATGCATGAGAAGTGCTTGAACCTGGGAGGCAGAGGTTGCAGTGAGCCAAGGTCATGGGCAATAAAGCAAAAGTCTATCAGAAAGAAAGAGAGAGAGAGAAGGGAGGGAGGGAGGGAGGAAGGAAGGAACTAGAAAAGCAAGAGCAAAAGAAAGAACGAACGAATGAACTAGAAAAGCAAGAGCAAACCAAACCCAACATTATTAGATGAAAAATAATAAAGAGCACAAATAATTGAAATTGAAATGAAGAATTCAAAATGTCAGTGAAATGATGGAATTGGTATTTTGAAAAGATAAGCAAAATTGACAGACCTTTAGCGATACTTAACTAAGAAAATAAAGATCCAAATAGATAAAATCAGATGAAAAAAGAGACACTACAACCAATATCTCAGAAATTCAAAGGATCATTAAGGGTTACTATCAGCAACTATATGCCAACAAATTGGAAAATCTAGAGGACAAGGACAAATTCCTAGACACATGCAACCTACCAAGATTGAACCAGGAAGAAATCCAAAGCCTAAACAGAATAATAACAAGTAACAAGATTGAAGCCATTATAAAAGTCTCCCAGTAAAGAAGAGTCTAGACCTGATCACCTGGAACCTACTGAATTCTACCAAACATCTAAAGTACTAATGCCAATCCTACTCAAACTATTCCAAAAAACAGAGGAGGAGGGAACACCTCTAAACTTATTTTATGAGGCCAGTATTATCCTGATACCAAAATTAGACAAAGACACATGAAAAGAAGAAAACTACAGGCCATTATTTCTAACAAAGATTGATGTGAAAACCCTTAACAAAATACTAGCAAACCAAATTCAGTAATCCCATTAAAAAGATCATTCTTCATGACCAACTGGTATTTATCCTGGGTATGCAAGGATGGTTCAACATAAACAAATGAATCAATGTGATACATTGTATCAACAGAATAAAGGGTGGAAACCATATGATCATTTCAATTGAGACTGAAAAAGCATTTGATAAAATTTAACATCCCTTGATGATGAAAACCCAAAAACAACCTAGGTATAGATGGAACAATGTAAAACAATACAATAAAGGCCAATACAATAAAATTCTCAACACAGTAAAAGCCATATGCAATAGACCCCTATCCTGTAACATACTGAGTGAGGAAGAACTGAAAGTCTTTTCTCTAAGATCTAGAACAAGACAAGGATGCCCATTTTCACCACTGTTATTCAACATAGTACTGGAAGTCTTAGCTAGAGCAGTCAGACATGAGAAAGAAAGAAACAGCATTTAAATTGGAAAGTGAGAAATCAAATTATCCTTGTTTGCAGATGATATGGCCTTAGATTTGGAAAAACTCACGTGAAGATTCTACCAAAAAACAATTAGAACTGATGCATTCGATAAAGTTCCAGGATAAATCAGTGTACAAAAATCAGTAGCATTTGACTATGTCAATACTGAATAATCTGAAAAAGAAATTAAGAAGTAATCTCATTTACAATAGCCACAAATAAAATTAAATAGGAATTAACCAAAGAAGTGAAAAAACTCCACAAGGAAAACTATAAGACACCAATGAAAGAAGTTGAAGAAGACAACAAAAAAATGGAAAGATAGTCTACATTCATGGATTAGAAGAGTCAGTATTGTTAAAATGTCCATACTACCCAAAGCAATCTACAGAGTCAATACAGTTGCTATCAAAATACCAATGACGTTCTTCACAGAGGTAGAAAAAAGCATCCTGACATTTTTGTGGAACTACAAAAGACCTGGAATAGCCAAAGCCATCCTTAGCAAAAACAACAAAACTGGAAATTATATCTGACTTCAAATTATACTACAGAGCTATAGGAATCAAAACATTATGGTACTGACATAAAACAACAAAATAATAGAAAGATATTCTATGTTCATGGATTAGAAGATTCAACATTGTTAAGATGTCCATACTACCCAAAGCAATCTACAGATTCAATACAATTTATATCGAAATACCAATGACATTCTTTATAGAAGTAGAAAAAATCATTCCAATTATTATTATTATTTTAAGAATTAGAGTAGGAAGCATCCTGAAATTTTTGTGTAACTACAAAAGACCCAGAATAGCCAAAGCCATCCTTAGCAAAAACAACAAAACTAGAAATTATACCCGACTTCAAATTATACTATAGAGCTATAGGAACCAAAACAGCATGGTACTGACATAAAAACAGACACATAGACCAATGGACCAGAATAGATAACCTAGAAACAAATCCATACATCTGCAGCAAATTCATTTTTGGCAAAGATGACAAGAAGATACATTGGGAGAGTCTCTTCCATAAATAGTGCTTGGAAAACTGGATATCCATATACAGAAGAATGAAACTAGACCCCTATCTTTCTCCATATACAAATATCAAATAAAAATGGATTGAAGACTTAAATCTAAGGCCTTAAGCTATGAAACTACTACAAGAAAACATTGGGGAAACTCTTCTAGAACATTGTTCTGGCCAGAGATTTCTTGAGCAATACTCAGCAAGCACAGGCAACCAAACCAAAAATGGACAAATGGGATCACATCAAGTTTAAAAGCACTGGTGCAGCAAAGGAAGCGATCAATAAAGTGAAGAGACAACCCACAGAATGGGAGAAAAGATTTGTAAACTACCTGTCTGAGAAGGGATTAATAATCAGAATAGATAAGGAGCTCAAACAACTCTATAGGAAAAAAATCTAATAATCTAATTTAAAATGGACAAAATGTCTGAATAGATGTTTCTCAAAAGAAGACATACACATGACAAAGGGGCATATGGAAAGGTGCTCAACATCATTGGCAATCAGAGAAATGCATATCCAAACTACAATGAGACATTGTTTTACCCCAGTTAAAATGGCTTTTATCCAAAACACAGGCAATAACATGCAGGCAAGGCTGTGGAGAAAAGGGAACCCTTGTACACTGTTGGTGGGAATGTAAATTAGCATAACCACTCTGAAGAACTGTTTGGAGGGAGGTTCCTCCGAAAACTAAAAATAGAGCTACAATATGATGGAGAAGTCCCACTGCTGGTTATGTTCCCAAAAAAAAGGAATTCAGGATATTGAAGAGATACCTGCACTCCCATGTTTGCTGCCGCACTTTTTACAATAGCCAAGATTTGGAAATAATCCAAATGTCCATCAGCAGGTGAATGGTTAAAGAAAATGTACATACACACAATGAAGTGCTTTTCAACCACAGAAAATGAGATCCTGTCATTTGCAACAACATTGGTGGAACTGGAGGTCATTATGTTAAATGAAGTAAGCCAGGCACAGAAAGACAAACTTACCATGTTCTCACTTATTTGTTGGAGCAAAAAATTAAAGCAGTTGAACTCACGGAGATAGAGAGTAGAAGCGTGGTTACCAGAGCCTGGGAAGGGTAGTAGGGGGAGGTGTTAAGGAAGCGGGACTGGTTAACTGATATAAAAAGCAAGAATGAGTAAGACCTAGTATTTAATAGCACAATAGGGTGACTATAGTCAATAATAACTTAATAGTACATTTGAAAATAACTAAAAGATATAATTGGATTGTTTATAACAAAAAGGATACATGCTTATGGGGATGGATACCCTGCTTACCAGGATGTGATTGTCATTCATTGCATGCCTATTTCATAGTATCTCGTGTGTTCCGTAAATACTGTACCCATAGAAATTTTAAAAATACAGAAAAAAAAACAAAAAATGAAAACCTCAGTGAATGTACTAAATTATAGATCACACACAGCTGAAGTGATCATTAACTTATAGATAAATATATGATAATAACCTAAATGTAGCATGGCATGATGGATTTAAAATATGAGAGTTTAGCTGGGCACGGTGGCTGATGCCTGAAACTCCAGCATGTTGGGAGGCAGAAGCAAGAAGATCACTTAAGCTCAGGAGTTTGAGACCAGCCTGGGCAACATAGGGAGACCTTGTCTCTATAAAAAATAAAAAATATAGCTGAGTGTGGTAGCGCTTGCCTGTAGTCCCAGCTACTTGGGAGGCTGGGGTGGGAGGATCACTGGAGCTTAGGGAGTTGAGGCTATAGTGAATCATGATTGTGTCACTTCACTCCAGCCTGGGTGACAGAGTGAGAGCCTGTCTCCAAAAAAAAAAGTCCCTTTAAAAAATAAATAAAATATGAGAGTTTAGAAGACATGAAGAGCATGATGAGGAAGTTCTAACAGCTTTCAGAAGGAGACGGCACAGAGAATGGGGAATGGGGAGGAAGAGGCGATATTCAGAGGTTACAGAGTATTGACAATTTTACAGAATTGTTGAAAGGCAGATACGGGGAGGGGCGGGGGGTAAAAATAAAGAAAGATCCAAGAAGTGTAGCAAATCCCAGCCAGGATAAATAAAAACGAAACCCATATCTACATTCATTATAGCAAAATTGCAAGATGTCACAGAATAAGGAGGAAAAAAGCATCCACTAAAGACCACTAGTTATGCTTTCAGCAAGTTTGTTCATATGGATGATGTCTTTATTGTGCTGAGAAATAATAAGGATTAACCTAGAGTTTTATACCCAGCAAGACCTTTTCTGCTGTGTAGGTGAAATGACATTTCAGACAAGGAAGCTCTGAAGTAACTTTCAAAGGAAAAATGAAAAAGAAGGAAGGTAATTCCAGAAGGGAGATCTAAGTTTCAGAAAAGAATGGTGAACAAAGAAATTGGTAAAGGAGACATTGACAATACATATAAAACAATATGACGATGTCTAATTTGTCAGGAAATGTATTTTTTAAATTAAATTTTATTTATTTATTTTATAGAGACAGGGTTTCACTATGTTGGCCGGACTGATCTTGAACTCCTGACCTCATGATCCGCCCGCCTCAGCCTCCCAAAGTGCTGGGATTACAGGTGTGAGCCATCTCACCTGGCTAGGAAATGTATTTTTTAAAAAGGCAGATCATGAACCTAAATTATTTCTACAGTTTTGCAAATACAGGATCACTTGTCAGTCAAAAATCACTAGACATGCAATGAGAGAAGGAAATGTGAATAAAAATGAGCCAAAGACAAACAGAAAGAGCCACGTGACTTACCTGATGGAGTTATCAGACATGAGCTTTAAAATAGCTGTATTTTTGTATAGGTAAAAAATGTGGAATTTCAGCAGAGAACTATAAAATATAAACTGTAAAAAAGAACCAAGTGCAAATTCTACAACTGAAAATACAATTGGAATTAAGGCTCGATGGATGGGTTTAACAACAGTTTAGACACATTTGAATGGAGAATTAAGGAACTAGAAGAGGGATTAGTAAACCTTTTCTGCAAAGGGCCAGATCGTGATTTTTTTAGGGTTTATAGGCTGCACGATCTCTGGTCTCTGTTACTACACCTAGTCAAGTTTGCTGTTATGGCAAGAAAGGAGCCGTTGACCGTGCATAAATGAATGCTGTGGCCGTGTTCCAGTAAAATACTTTATTTACAAAAGCAGATGATGGTCTGGATTGTGCTGACTCCTGAACTAGAAGATAGGTTAGAAGGGAATATGTAAATCAGGAATGAAGGGACATGGATGTGCAGTCTGAAGAGAGGCAGCTTTTGCAAAGGAAAATTGTTTCTAGTTCTTTTTTATTCAGTAAGATTATAGAGATTATTTCAGTGTTTCCACCAGAATGGTGATTATTTTTATGAAAAAAGAAACAATTGTCTCGATTTTCAGACTATGCATGGAATTTTGGAGAAAAGCAAGTTTTGCAAAGATATGACAGTAAAGTATGATTCAAGACTTCGGGAAAGGGTAAGTTACTTATTTACATACTGTTCTTCACCGTAAATTATCAGTAAGCCACCTCAGTTTGTCACTTGGCTAAAAATTAAATGCATTTCTGCTAGGGATTTTGAATCAGCAAACATGTTAAGAATCTGCCATATGACAGTCGCTGTTACATAGCCTGATATATAGCATCGTATTATTAAAATCAAATGAGATAAGCATCTTAATGTATGAAAGAAGGTATGCTCATAAGAACTTAACCAGTATAGAAAAGTTTAAAGTAAAGGTGAAAAATATGGATATTGCATAATATATGCAACCTAGCTACTGCTGATGGACAGGTAGGTTTTCACTAGATTCTCACTGATGTCAATAATGTTAAAATAAACATCTTTGTAGTTAATTCATTGCAGACCTACATATTTCTAGAAATGGACATTGGTGAGTATGTACTTTATTTTAAGGCTTTTATATACATATTGCCAAGTTGATTTCCAGAAAACCTGTGCCAATTTATAGTCCCTTGAATGACCTAGGAGAAAGTTTTGTTTTTTCACATCAACAATTGGTATTATTAGTCTCTGTGATTTTCCAACTTCATAGCTTAAGAATGGTGCCATCTGGCCGGGCATGGTAGCTCACACCTGTAATCCCAGCACTTTGGGAGGCCGAGGTGGACAGATCACTTGAGATCAGGAGTTCGAGACCAGCCTGGCCAACCTGGTGAAACCCGTCTCCACTACAAATACAAAAATGTGCTGGGCGTAGAGGCTCGTGCCTGTAGTCCCAGCTACTCGGGAAGCTGAGGCAGGAGAATCGCTTGAACCTGGGAGACGGAGGTTGCAGTGAAACGAGATCACACAGCTGCACTCCAGCCTGGGTGACAGAGCCAGAGACTCCATCTCGAAATAAAAATAATAATAATAATAATGGGGCCATGTTAATTCTCACATTACTGATTCCTAATGAAATAGACCTCTCATGTCTCTGAAACTTCCTTATAACTATGGAGATATATTTACCTATTTCATAGTGCTGTCATTGGGATCAAATGTGTGGATGGGAGGTGGCTGAGTTGGTGCCTTGCATATGTTAATCTCTAGTCCTACAATCTGTGCAAATCTCTATTTATTTGTTCAGTAAATCCCCACCATCTACTTCAGATAGCTTAGCAAGTTATTCTAAAATAACCCATTTGGACGTGGCGTACAACTCAAGATTTCAATTATATTTTCTAAGGTTCATGGCCCTCTACCTAGTACATTCTCTTTATCAGTTCAGAGGAGATAGAATAAATTAAGTGGAGGAGATTTGCTTATTCCTGGGATGAATGTTCTAAATTTGCCATAAATATAAGCTTAATTGTTACATTGTAATTTCATTTGAGAAACTGTTGTCTATTGGACTATTTCAGAAATACGGGGTTGCAGAAGGCAAAGCCCTGAGTGAGCTGAGGGCCATGGCCAAAGCAGCCGGGGAAGAGTGCCCTGTTTTTACACCGCCTGGAGGAGAGACACTGGACCAGGTATGAGGCACTGCCCATGTCAGAATGGTTGAAATCGGACTCATAAATTAGGTGTTTTGGAATTTTAGCTAAGCAGTTTGAAAGTCGCTTGGTTCATTCTCTTTTTCATGTTAAATTATTTACTTAGTAAATTATTCTATTCTATTTGAAATCTTATTTACTGTTCAGCTGACTTTGTCATTACAGACTGATAATGGACTTAGGGAAAGGTGTTATTAGATGGTACTTCTAAAAAAGACCTTTGACTGTGAAGCAGTGGCCTAGTGGTGGGAGTGGAGTTTAAAGAGGGTAATTGGCAAGTCACTTGAGTTGAAATAATTCAAAACACGAAGTCTTCCAGCCTCTGCTGACTCCTCAGCTCTGTTCATGATGGCATCCCTGTGCTTGCATTTCTTTGGAGTGTTCTCTTTGAATTTGGTGATTTCCCCTAACCCATCCCCACCTCCTTAATCTTTATCTTCCTAATTTTCTTGAAAATACTTTACTTTAGTGAGGGAAGGATTTGTTGCTGCTGTTGCTCCAATGGCACTGAAGTGCCAGAAACAGTTTCCTGGTTAGCACTATTTTATGAGTTTTGTCGACGTGTAGATTTCCCTAACTAGACCGCGAGTGCTTTGAACTCAGGAATTGGGAATTGTATCTTCTTCATCTTGGTCTCCATCATGCTTTCATAGTTCCAGAAATGTGGTAGTTACTTACATATGTCAGTGAGACTACTGATGGAATGAATAGAAATGTAGATTGAGATTCTTCTGCTTATGTAGTACTTGGTGTTCAGTATTAGAAAAAAATCCAGTCAGTTATGTTCTATGTCAACGTTTTAAGGAAGTTATTATGTCACTTTATTTTACCTTTTATTTCTTTTCTTGTAGGTGAAAATGCGTGGAAAAGACTTTTTTGAATTTCTTTGTCAACTAATCCTGAAGGAAGCAGATGAAAAAGAACGGTTTTCCCAAGGATCTCCAAGCAACTGTCTGGAAACTTCTTTGGCAGAGATATTTCCTTTAGGAGAAAATTGCAGCTCTGAAGTTAATTCAGACAGTGTCTTTCCAGGATTAGCCGCCAGTGTCTTAGTTGTGAGTCACGGTGGTTTCATGAAAAGCCTGTTTGATTATTTTCTGACTCACCTTAAGTGTTTCTTACCAGCCACTCTGAGCAGATCCGAACTTATGTCAGTCAGTCCCAATACAGGGATGAGTGTTTTTATCATAAACTTTGAGGAAGGAAGAGAAGTTAAACCAATGGTTCAGTGTATTTGTGTGAACCTACAGGATCATCTAAATGGACTGACCGAAACTCGCTAAGATTAAATCTGCATCAAAATCTAACCATTTTGAGCCTCTGAAGGGAGTGCCATTGGCTTTATTTACTTCCCTCCTCTGCTAGTACTGATTTGGAAACAGTTAAAAGCAAATTATAAAGCTCAGGTCGAATCATAGCCACATAAAACTTTTTTTTTTTTTTTTTGAGACGGAGTTTCACTCATGTTACCCAGGCTAGAGTGCAATGGCGCGATCTCGGCTCACCGCAACCTCCGCCTCCTGGGTTCAGGCAATTCTGCCTCAGCCTCCTGAGTAGCTGGGATTACAGGCACGCACCACCATGCCCAGCTAATGTTTTGTATTTTTAGTGGAGACGGGGTTTCACCATGTTGACCAGGATGGTCTCGATCTCTTGACCTCGTGATCCACCCACCTTGGCCTCCCAAAGTGCTGGGATTACAGGCTTGAGCCACCGCACCCGGCCGCCACATAAAACTTTAATGAACAACCAGATAGAATTAACTATCTTGTTGAAGTACAGTTGGCATTTTCCAAAGTAATTTTACCACCCTGCTAAGTGTCAACTCTGGATTGCACGTGGATGATGAAGGAACTCAGTATTGAAAGTTAGGGATTAGTAACCTTGTTACAATGGTTTCTTTTTATTTTAGCCCATTTTAATGGCTACGAGTAAGATACTGTATGTTTTTTAGTATCTCATCTAGTGCTTGGAAGAAAGAACTGTTTATAAGTCCCAATACATATTTATATTGACTATTATATTTTTAAAATCCTTTAAATAAAAATTCCTTATAAGTTTATATAAAGCAAAATAACACTAACATGTTTTACATATAAATTAAGTGTTGGAATTTTTTATTCTAGAGGGCTTGAAATGTAGATGAATGCAGATTACGGTTGCAGAATGGTCTGCGGGGAAGAAGTTAAAACCATCATTTGATTTAAATACAGTAAAGAAGGAATCTTGGAGCAGAGGGTAAAAGAACAGCCTTTTCTAAACAATACCTTGCAAAAGTCAAGTCAATGGAAACCAGGAAAGCCAAAAAAATGAAGAATATCCCCTTGCTTCTTATCTAACCTGTAGGCTGAAGAATTTCCAGTTTGAGGAAGGCTGGAAAGAAAGTAAACAGTTAACAGTACACTACACGGCAATCTCAGAATAAAAGAAGGAGCTTTTTTGTAAAGAATGGTACTCTGGGCCAGGTGCAGTGACTCATACCTGTAATCCCAGCACTTGCAGGCAGATCACAAAGTTGGCAGTTCAAGACCAGCCTGGCCAACATAGTGAAACCCCGTCTCTACTAAAAATAGAAAAATTAGCTGTACGTGGTGGTGGGCACCTGTAATCCCAATTACTCAGGAGGCTGAGGCAGGAGAATCACTTGAGGCCTGGAGATGGAGGTTGCAGTGAGCTGAGATTGAGCCATTGCACTCCAACCTGGGTAACAGAGCAAGACTGAATCTCAGGGAAAAAAAAAAAAAAAAAAAAGAATGGTGCTCTGAAGGTACAGGTGAGGTTGCGTCTTCCTTCCACCAGATGGCACTGGAGAAAAGGGATTTTGATTAAGTTAATTTTATACATAAGATGGTCTTTCAGAAATCTTTATCTAAATGAAGAAACTGTTTTACATGTAGTTCGCCTTTAAGTCACCATGTTCCTAAATGCGGTGAGTCTCAACTTTAAAGAGGATTAATAATAAAGTTGTCAGTTAAGGCTATAATCACAAATAGTCAAAATTTGACATTTAAATCTTATGTAAAATTCAGTAATATACTGTTCTCAGTGTGTGTCGTACTACCAGTTTTCTACCAGTATTGAAACAGAGCACGTGTTTGAGCATCAGAGGAAGTATACACAAAAATTTGAAAAATAAGCAAAAAGGACAGACAACAACTGTCTCCATTTCCACCACACTGAAGTCACCTTTCTTCCTTTCTGTCTTTTTGAGACTGAGATTTTGCTCTTGTTGCCCAGGTTGGAGTGTAATGGCACAACCTCAGCTCACCACAATCTCTGCCTCCTGGGTTCAAGCGATTGCCCTGCCTTAGCTCCCGAGTCACTGGGATTATAGGCATGCACCACCATGCCCGGCTAATTTTTTTGTATTTTTAGTAGAGATGGGGTTTCTCCATGTTGGTCAGGCTGCTCTCAAACTCCCAACCTCAGGTGATCCACCCGCCTCAGCCTTCCAAAGTGCTGAGATTATAGGCGTGAACCACCACGCCTGGCCCCATTTTTTTTTTTAAAGAAACAAAACATAAATAAAACATAAAACGTAAGTAGAGTTCCGTTTAACAGTTGTCGCAGTCTTGTTCCCTCCAGAGGCAGCCACTGCAGTGAGTCTCTGTACATGTTCATCTGTTCCTTATATTTTCACCTAGTGTCTGGAAGAAGATGGTATTGTTTTGGTGCTTTAAAAATAAATGTCCAGCCATCTGTGTTCTTTATTTTTACTTATGTCTTGGAGGCACTGTCTCTGTTGATATATATAGATCTAGTTAATTATAAGCTCTGTATTCTATTAAATATAGCACATTTTTGTTTATTCTATTAGTGAGTATTTAGGTATATTCAGTTTTTTTCTTTTCTTCTTTTTTTGAGACAGAGTCTCTCTGCTTCCCAGGCTGGAGTGCAATGGCGTGATCTTAGCTCACTGTATCCTCTGCCTCCTGGGTTCAAGCAATTCTTGTGCCTCCGCCTCCTGAGTAGCTGGGACTACAGGCACGCGCCACCACGCCTGGCTTTTTTTTTTTTTTTTTAATAGTATTAGTAGAGACGGGGTTTCTCCATGTTAGCCAGGCTGGTCTTGAACTCCTGACTTCAGGTGATCCACCTGCCTTGACCTTCCAAAGTGATGGGACTATGGGCATGAGCCACTTTGCCTGGCCTACGATGCACTATTTAATGTGTTCTTAATTTTTAAGATAAACTAATATATTTTATCCTTTATGAATTTTTTTGGTATGTATCTTTAAGAAGACTTCTCTACCGTGAGGTCATACAGCAATCTCTCTTTATAGTTTTTGAGAACTTCTGAATGTCGAATCTTGAAATTATCTGAAATTTGTTTTTTATAGTATAAGGAAAGAATTTAATTTTATTGGGTTTTTTTCTGTTTTTTTTTTTTTTTTTTTCCCACGTGGTTGAAACAGTTATCCCAACAGCATGATAAAGACTGTTCTATCCCAATTGGCTTGTGATGTGTGCTCTCAGGCCTTACACACCCTCATTTACTGGAGTCTGTGGACTCTGTTCTGATTTATCTGTGTATTCTCATATCAGTGTCATACTTAGTTACTGTGGCTTTGCAGCGGAGTATCTTGAAGGGTGGATAGTTTGCCTTGTTCATTTTTAAAGTTGTCTTAACTATCGGTACACTTTTATTCCATATAAATTTTGGAATCAATTGGTCAATTTCCAGAAAAATTCTGTTACAAAGTTTATTGGAATCACATGCATTTATTTAGTTATTCAATACATATTCAATACACATTCAGTGCATCATTTATGCAGTTATTCAATACGTATTTTTTGAGCATGGCACAGAGATGCCAGGCTATTTTAAGAACTATTAGAACTATAATAAAGCTATGAATATATAGCAATGAACCAAAAACAAAGTCTTTATCCTTGTAGAACTTCTGTTCTGTCAGAGAAGACTGTGTTGGCTCATACTGTGGTCCGTGCAGTTGAGCAAAATAGGCAGAGTAAGGGGGATGGAGGCTGGCAGGAGAAATGCTGCTTTATCCAGAGTGGGCAAGGAGGACTCTAGATGATGTCAGTACTGAAGGAAGTAAGATCTGCCACTCTGAGGAGAGGAGCAGCATGGAAGGAGTAGAGTTCAGAGGCCCTGAGGAAGGATCAGGCTTGACTCCTTTGAGCAAGGGGGATGGGAGAGTGATGGGAGGACAGGCCAGTGTGGGCAAAGTGATGTGATCAGATGTTTCAGTAGGACCACCCTGCTTGCAATGTGGACAGCAGGCTGTAGGGGATGCTATAGGAGCACAAGGCTGGAGGCAGGGAAGACGGTGCCCTGGCTCTCAGGTCATTTGAAGAAGCAAGGCCAGGGATGTTGGCAGGGACGAGGCCAGAGTGCCTCCAATGGCTAAGAGCCTGGACATTGAATTTTTAGGTTAGCTTAGGATTGGTCATCCTCCCATCTGTGAATGTCACAGATCTCTCATTTTGTCTGGGTCTTTTATCCAATGAAGTTTTATTTGTAATATTTCCCATCTATCCCCTGCTCCCACACCTGCATAGCTTCTCCCACTGTCAACATCCCCCGCCAGACTAGTGCATCTGTTACCATTTATGAGCCCACATTGACGCATCACCATCTCCTGAAATCCATAGTTTACATTTGGGTTCAGTCTTGGTATTACATGATCTGTGGGTTTGGACAAATGTATGGAGATATGTATTCTACCATTAGAGTATCATGCGAGTATTTTCACTGTCCTAAAAATCCTCTATGTTCCACCCACTCACCTTTCCCCCCTTGCCTTGCCCGTTTCTGTTAGGTCTAGTCCAAGGCCTGGCAGAGAGAAGCTTCACTCCAGGCTCACAGCTTCAAGCACAGCCTGTTGCTTAGGCTCCCTAGCACCCGGAGTCGAAACCATGGCTCGCATTCATCTGCCTCTTATTTTCCTGTCCTTCCTACTCCTCACCCACCTGCTATTCATCTCCATTTTTGGATGAGGATTCTCATTTATTGCTTTTTGTTTTTGTTTTGTTTTTCTGAGATGGAGTCTAGCTCTGTTGCCCAGGCTGGTGTGCAGTGGCACGTCTCAGCTCACTGCAACCTCTGTCTCCCAGGTTCAAGCAATTGTCCTGCCTCAGCCTCCTGAGTAGCTGGGATTACAGGTGTGTGCCACTATGCCCGGCTAATTTTTTGTTTTTGTTTTTTGAGACCAAGTCTCACTCTGTCACCAGGCACCAGGCTGGAGTGCAGTGGCGTGAGCTCGGCTTACTGCAACCTCCACCTCCCTGGTTCAAGCAATTCTCCTGCCTCAGCTTCCTGAGTAGCTGGGACTACAGGCGCACACCACCATGCCCAGTTAATTTTTGTATTTTTTAGTAGAGACAGAGTTTCACCTTGGTGACCAGGATGGTCTCGATCTCTTGACCTTGTGATCCACCCGCCTCGGCCTTCCAAAGTGCTGGGATTACAGGCATGAGCCACCACACCAGGTCCCAATTTTTTGTATTTTTAGTAGACATGGGGTTTCACCATGTTGGTCAGGCTGGTCTTCAACTCCTTACCTCGTGATCCGCCTGCCTCGACCTCCCAAAGCGCTGGGATTACAGGCGTGAGCCACTGCACCTGGCTTCTCATTTATTGCTTTTTAACTAAAAACCTGTTTTAGCTAGCATCTTTATTCTAATTTCTCTAAATGCTATGTCATCGTCAGCAAAGACATGCTCATATTAGGGGAAGCACATAAAGTAAGATATCCCTGAGAGAACAGTGCATCTCACACTCATTCCATGGCTTAGGCTTATGCAGGAAGTGCAATATTTGGCCATATCACTTAAGTAAATATGCTTATATATACTTGTATATTTATTTACATTTACAAGTAGTTGAATTTGTGTAAGTTAAATGGTTCTATTATATGTCTCCACTATACTAAGGTCAGTCACAACTTAGTTGAAATAGATCATCCTAGGTGAATACGCCTGGGCATATTATCAGTGCTGTTAAGCACAGACACAGGAGGTGCAAAGGAAGACATGTTTAGTAGAGAGCAGTGGTGCTGGGCTGAGTACCTGCTATCAGACGCAGCACACACCAGTCTGGAAATTGAATAGGGCTCCTAGAACACATCCTTGTTTTA